ATCTATATTTATAATACACGCAATATATATTTATATAATAATTGGCATTTAAAACAATTAGACATTTAATCACAGATAAATATTTAATAATAATAATAATAATAATAATAAATAAGCAATAATAATGGCAATAATAAACCAATAAATAATCTCAAATAATTCCAATTCAAACGGGGCGTTACAACTCTTTCCCCAACTTTGTGAACTTACATTGAAGTTCACTGTCTTATTTGTTTAGCGCAATTTTGTATTCCTCCCCCAAAATTTCAGAACCCATGGCCTATCGGCCACAGGTGAATCGTCTTACCACTAAGCTGCGTTTCGTTGTCAACTACATTATTTACGTTGTACAAGTAACCAATACGTGATCTACTGTTTCTTCCATGACCACAATATCCAAATATTAAATATCAGAACATAAGATAGTTTAATTAAACATGATTCTCGTTCAAAAGAAAGATAGTGTTTATTACATAAAAATCCAAGCTTTAAGTATATAGAAAAGAAAAGCGGAACAAAAGTCTCCTGAGCAAAGGCGGACTGGTGCTGACCAATAGAATAAAACGGTCTATCTGTAGGGTGAGGACATCGAACCCCGGGAAGAACCAGATGTGAATTTTCTGCTGCCCAATTTCTAGTGGCAAGGGCTCCCTCGCGACTCTAGAGCAATGTAATTGTATGAACTGGGGCTCAATCTGTGCATATCCCGCAGTTTAATAACTAAATCTCTGAAACGTCGGAAGCTTAGTAACCAAACTAGTTAGGACAAGCCCAGAATCTTAAAAAAAGGAACAAAACTAACCAAACTACTTAGGACAAGCTAGTTAAGCATCCATAATACTTTGGTTCAATCACAAAAAACTGTCACTTAAGAAATAGACCGAGTCTGAAAAAATATACTCTCCAATACAAATAGAAATAGACTGGGTCATGCTCAGCTAGAAAAAGAGACTCGGTCTGTCCTTAAGTCTATTTTAGACCCAAATAGAGACCTAGTCTCTTTGCATTGGAGTGGAATTTGTTAATTTTCTATAGATTTATTCATGTCATCCATGACTTGGGTTTATTTATATGCCACATAGGAAAGACTAGACCCAATAAATTGTGGATACTCTTAGAGCATCTCCAATGTAAAGGTTTGTTTAGAAACACTTATTGAGAAGTCCATTTAAGATAGACTTTTTGAAAAGTGACTTCTCAAGAAGTGTCCAATATAAACTTCTTTGAAATGGACTTTTTGTGGGAGTTACTTTCTTAAAAGTCTATTTTGTTATTTACACCAAACATCTTTTTATATAGAAAATTGAATTTTGTAGTAAGAAATCATTACAAAAGTGCTTCCAAACATACACAAAATGTAGTAGTAGTAAATTACACTTTTTATTAACAAATTTAGCAATGTCTCCACTTTTAATCCTACAATTCACTTTTAATCCTACAATTCACAGTGTAATCACAAATGTTGTGATGAGGTGAACATAATTAATGTATAAAATGTAGAGAAGAATGTGGTTCATCCACATTCTAATCAACCAATTGAGAGATGAGACAGAAATATTATTATCATTTTTCAAAATATCTAATTATTTATTTATTTTTTTGTTTCTGATTTATAATTATTTTATTTTGCCAAGTGAAAAATATTATGTTTGATTACATTGTGCATTGTAGGTAATTTTTTTAGATTTACAGAAATGAACTTAACAAATATCTTATGTGGTTCACAATCCATCTAAATAATTAACATTTGTCAAAATTTATGTGATAACAACATTTATATATTAAGGCTTGGTTCGGCTCGAGTTCGAAGTCTTAACGAGTCGAGCTCGAGCTCATTTAAAGTTCGTTTGGTTAACGAGCCAAACTCGGCTCGGCTCGATAAGACTCGTTAAGGCTCGAACTCGAGGCCTTAACGAGCCGAGCTCGAGCCGAGCCGAGCCAGACTCGTTTAATTTGACAGCACTATCCTCGACTATGGACATGGTGACGTGTACAAAGCGGTGTGGGTAAAATAAAAGAAGAATAAGTAAAAACAAATGAACAACGACACAATTCCCACTCCATCGAATTCCAAACACACACACACACACAACTAACCGTGTTGTGGTTTGTGAGGGGGTATGGTATGGTATGGTTGGAAACAGCACAGGGTTGGGCATGCTCGGGCAACTCATTGGACAGTTAGAGGAGTTTTTGGAGCTCCACGGCTCTGTTCCTCCTCCTGCGCTTCCTTCCAATTGCTTGATTCAGTTTCTACCTCCATCGCACCACAGTCCGCTCAGGTCCCTTTCCAATTACTCCTTTCTTCCATTTTATTTACTCTATGTTTCGGTTTTACATCTCTCTGCTGTGATTTGATGCTTCTAAAGGGGATTTATGTTATCTCTATTACCTATCAGCATTTTTAAATTGCAGATGTTATGTAGGTCAGTATTTAGGGCTAACATTCTGATTGTTTCTTTTTTTTTATTTATTTATTTATTTATTTTTTTTTTTTGTAAAAGTGTAAGTATTATGAGTCATAGTTACTGTATTATGCAAAAATTATGTGCCAATAAATGGTTTTCTTTTTCTTATAAAATAATTTATTGGGCTATTTAGTTGGTTTGCTCAATTTATCTGAGGGGCAACCAATTTCAGTCAAATTGTTTTCAGTATCTACAATGTTCAGAAGTGGCTTAATAAAAAGTAATAGAAGAAAAAATGCATTTAAAGCTCAAGCCGAGTATGCTGAAATTCAGTCTATTAATTTTTTGAAGAACTTTTTTCATTTAATCTGCTGTTCTAATCTCTGATGTCTAAAACAACTATCGGTTTTTTTTTTAGTGTTTTTTTCCTTCATTTTGTCTCTTATGGAGTACAGGAAACTATTGATTTGGTTAGTAAATATACATACACAGCTGATTTGTCTAAGGCCTCATATGAATTGTAGCAAGTTGTTAAACATTTTTGTGTACTTGTTGTCTTGAACTCTGTACAATGCATGGCTTTGTGGTGTTGCATTCAGTGTTATTAAAAGTTAATTTTTAACGATGGCACATTCCATTCCATTATTCGCAGGGGCACATTTGTAGCTTGTGCGTCTGAGGTAGATGCTACTAAAACATGCATGATTTTTTGTTCAATTCAATTTTCATTTTTTACACTCATTTATTGGAAATATGGAAATGATTAATGATTATAACTATTAACCATATGATATCACACTTCGGAAATAGTGTTTTTGATTGTTTAAGGTTGCACAGTCATGACTCTTAGGAGATTAAAGGTTGTGAAAATACATTTGTACCTAATGCATAAGCATTATCGGCTAAATCCTGCATTTTTAACACTTCTTTTCCTTCTTTTATAATGCATGTGCACTTGGGACTATGAAACTTGTTATGTTTATTATTGAGAATCCCTTACTGAGAGAGTGAATTTTTCAAATTTGATCAACCGTCAACAAGTACTTCTAATGTGGGTGAATAGCAGAATGATCTTTATGTACACGATTAAAATCAAGATATGAAGATGGATGCACTCATTACATATGATTGGGAGAACCAATATTACAGATATAATCCCACGCCATCTTACTGTCAGAAGAAGGAACTGAGTGAAAGTATAGGAACTTTCTTTCTTTATCTGTGTTGATTCTGTTGAATTGCTAATTGTTGATTTCTTGGAGCATCTTTGAACGTGCTCGTTAAAATTGAGCTGTTGTGGCCCAGCTAAATGTCCACAAGCTAAAATAGCTAAAATTTTGAAAATCTCAATCTAACCATGCTACCTACTAGAAAAACAAAGTAATAAATCAGTAGTTGAATTGGTTTTTAGTCACTTATTAATTCTAATCGAAAGTAAAATTTGAATAAAATATAATTAGCTACTGCCACCCCTTAAAATGTGTAATATGTTAATATCTGACCTAAACCGCGGGAGTCCGGGCCGTGTCTCAGTCCCAGTGTGGCTTGATCCGCTACGGAATTGACATTATACGCAACAGAAGCACCTGAAGTACTAAACGGAGCACAGCATACCTGATAAAGTCTCCATTCACATAGCCAAAGCTATTTTAGCTAACCTTTTAAGTCCATAGGTGGATTTCAAAACTGCTGCTCCTTACCTATTAAGGTGAAAGAGTATTTTCTAGCTTGTCGTTTGGAGATGCTGCTACTTGACTGTTAAATGTTATTTTATGGTGGTTATCTGAATGTCATTGAATGGTCTCTTTATTGGAGGTACAATTTATATTTGTTATTTGTGCTTGCAGTTTTGATCTCGATTGGTTAATGAAGCATATGCTGGTGGGTTATTTGCGATTTTGGATGCGTTTGGAAGCTTGTAATGTTTAGTCAACATTCATTAAAACTTGTAATGTTTATTTTTCGGATGAAAGCTATATAATTATTCTTTTAGGTGTTATTTTTTATTTTTTCCACATCTACTTAGGTTCTAATAAAATGGTAACTTTATTAATACATGTGATCCTTTATTTTCCAATTTCTCTGGAAGAAAACTATTTTACTCTTCCTACACAAAATGATCAAGATTAGTTCATTATTTCCCGAATGATCGGAATGAAAATTTGTCATTCTTTGTTGGGAGCTGTATAGCTCTCTCTATTTTCAAAAGGTTCTGTTTATCATTCTTGGGTGTTTTAATTTAAGAAAATTGTTTTAGATTGCTATAATTTTGGGAAATTGTAAATCCATTCTATGATTCTAATCAATATGAGAGAAAAGTTACTGCTGAGGATCTGTTGCGCTTTGTCGATAACTTTTAAATTTTTGCATGATTATTGTGCTGCTATTTTTACCAGACTGAAGTCCACTAGGATGCAAGGTTTATTTTTGTTAAATAACTAGCATTTAGTCTGAATACTTCAGAATCTATAGGATGGTTGTTTCTCTCTCCCCCTCTTTGTGTACCAAACTGAAGTCCGGTAGTAACTAATTATTTACTTACATCAACAAACATTATGTTTGAATACTTCAGATTATCTCTGGGACGGTGATCCTCTCTCTCTCTCTTTTTGTCTCTTTCTCTCTCTCTTTAACAAACAAGCTCACACTTTCAGTGTTTGTGTGTATATGAAATATGAACGTGCACTAATAATATACTTTTGTAATGTTCTCTTGATTATGTATATCTGCGGCAAATTTTGGGTCATTTGAATTTGCATTTCATGTTTAACAATATAGGTTGGAAACCAACTGATTAATTGACCTGTCTTCCAAAACAGTTGAAACAGATATACTGTTTACAGAACCTTTAACTTAAAGGTTTATTCACTCTAGCAATGAAATTGTTCTAAAAATCCATGTCGGAAGAAGTTGTTACCAGAGTAACTGTCTTAATTTGTTGATCAAATGGAGTTTTCAGCATGACCATACATACCTACTGCCAGAATTGTAAACTAGCAAACAAAAATTTTCTATAATGTTTTGTTGATTTAGCTTTTCCTAGGAATACTGTTGATTACAACACGTTCAGTTTTGTTCATCTTTTTCCCTTCCCCCCTCTCTCGTACTCTCTCTCTCTCTCTCTCTCTCTCTCTCTCTCTCTCTCTGATTGCAGAAGTTTCGTTATTACATACCCCATTCTGTGAATTTGAATTATATATTCTATTGTCACTTTGACCAGTAACTATTATTAATCTGGATAATGTTTGAAAATGTTCTCCTACAACCTTGTTTTCCATATCTCTAGTTGGTGTAATCATGTCAGAATGGCTTGGCATTTATTCTATTTCTAGTTCTTTGAATGACCAGTGTTGTTGTGGATACTCTCTTATCTTGCCAGTTGGGTAGTGTACTATTTGGTTGATGTTTTTCTTAATTTGTTTCAGATATTATTTATCGTGGAACTAGATGCTATATTTCAAGTACATAGCTGTCGTTATTTAACTGTGTATGTGTCGGTTAGTAGTTGTACGGGTTAAATGGACTTGGTTTGAATTCTCTCTCTCTCTCTCTCCCAAAAATTCAATGATTGAAGGCAAAATTTCCATTAACTTGTTTCCTTGCACGTCTGAAACACTTTATCGTATATAAAGGTAGATGCATTAAACTGCAGATGGTGTAATTATTTCAATCTCGAAGACAGCTCTTTGCAAGACAGCTGGTGTAACATGATAATGAGTGGTGAAGATGTGAAAATGCTGGGACCCGGGAAGCCGCCGCCTCCCCGCAAGAAAGTGCGCAATGGTGAGAAATGCGGAGTGGCCGAGAAGATGGACTACCGCATTTGGAAAGAATTCCCAGAAGACCTGTTTGAGGCTGTGATGGCGCGGCTCCCGATTTCGTCCTTCTTCCAGCTGCGGTCCGTCTGCAGAAAGTGGAATTCAGTTGTGGAGTCCCCCAGCTTCTCCCGAGAGTGCGCCCTCGTGGAACAGAGGCAGCAGCCCTGGTTCTACACTGTGACACATGAGAACGTGGGCACAGGCGGCGCCATGTACGACCCCCTCTCCAGGAAGTGGCGGCGCCGCACTCTGGAAGCCACCGCAACAAAGCCAATTGTGCTCCCCGTGGCTTCAGCCGGCGGCCTTGTATGCCTCCTTGACATCGGCCACGAGAGCTTCTACGTGCGCAACCCCCTCACAGGGTCTTTCAGAGAGCTGCCCCCCGCACGCACACGGGCAGTCAGGGTGTGGTCCCGCGTGGCGGTTGGGATGGCCCCGCATCCACATGGAGGCTACAAGGTTATCTGGGTGGGGTGCGGGGGGGACTACGAGGTGTACGAGTCGGGCAGGGGGAGTTGGGGTCGTGGGGGGATGGTGCCGTCGAGTGTGCGGGTCCCATTGGGGCTGAATTTCAGGTCGCCAGCAGCGTGCGTGGGCGGGGCCCTCCACTTTCTTCGCTCGGAGCCAGATGGACTGCTCACATACGACGTGGGGAGCGGCGCGTGGGGGCAGGTGGCGGTGCCACTGCCGCCGTGCTCGGGGGACCACGCTCTGGCCGAGGGTGGTGGGGGCCGCGTTCTGCTGCTGGGGCTGCTAACAAAGAATGCGGCCACGTGCGTGTGCGTGTGGGAGCTGCAGAGGATGACGCTCTTGTGGAAGGAGGTTGACAGAATGCCAAATGTGTGGTGCTTGGAGTTTTACGGGAAAAACGACGTCAGGATGACTTGCCTGGGGAACAAGGGCTTGATCATGCTGTCATTGAGGTCCAGGCAGCTGAACCGCCTCGTCACTTATGATATATCCACCCGGGAGTGGCTCAGGGTGCCTGGAAAGAGGAAGCAGTGGATTGCGTGCGGGACCGCTTTTCATCCTTGTTTGACTGCATCGCCTTAGTGTGTGTTTGATGTGTTTTATCTTACTTGTGCTGCTCCATTTATATCATGTGGCTATGCCTTCTCTGCTGTCTGTATAATGTGTACTCGTGCAATGTTGTAGTTGTGTTTTTCCGGGAACTTTAATAGTAGCAACTACTAAGCTGCCATAATATTCATGCTCTCTCTAGATTGTATTACAAATAATTTGTATGTAAATTTCTTTAATATCTCCCGTTCCTCCTTTTATTCATCGCTCATGAATGTAGGCTTTGTTTCATGGCTAAATATTCAATTCAGGTTAAGTTAAATTATGTAGAAGAACTTTACATAAGTAGTTGATACTCGTGGTATAGTTATTTTTTAAAAATTAATTTTCGTTGAGTGAGAAATAAATGATTAAAGTTAATCTTTGAGCGTGTAAAATGTTGGTCGTGAGATTCAAATGGTCAAGAATTCTATTCTACATTGAACTCTTAAATGATGATGACTCTCTTCACTATAATAAAGAGTGTTGTAGAGATCATCAACAACAAAACTATGCACCAAGTGTTGGTGTTGACTTTTGTCACACAAGCGCGCTTGTCGCCCGGCTCAGCTTGTTCCTTGGCCTTGTCCTGTCTTTGTACTTGGCAAGTGGACTTTGAGCTGAACTTCGGCCGGTGTTGGGCTTGGGCCAAGCCCCTGTAGCAAATTTATTTGTGAAATTGTGGCCCGAAAATATAAATACAAACTGATTTAGGTTTAGACTCGGATTTTAACCCAACCCGTGTGGACCTCTTCAAGATACAATGTATCCATACATATTGACTCCACTTGATCATTTCAAAAGTTATTATTTCAACAGTTATCAGGTGGAGTGGTAGTGTGTTAATACCCCAAAACGGTCACACTATTTCATGCCCGTAATAGCACCCATGACCAGGCTGTTACCTCCCTTAGTGGAAGTTGACTTATGGTCCTCCTTGTCTAAGCTAGAAATCCTATAAATAGGACATGGTTATAGTTCCAGAACACGCAAACATTGAACAACATCTGCAGTCTTACACTCTGCTAAAAACCTTACACATTATATATAGTGCTCAGTTCGCAACTCTGTTTTACTTTGTCGGAGCTTTGAAGTTTGGTGTGCTACAACTTCCTTAGTGATTTTCGTTGTATCTTTGGGGACAAGACGCACAAACGCGTCACCACTACAGGGAACATATTTGTCTTGCAGAAAGTGATATTCACGCCTCGACTATCATCTTTCCACTTTCAGTTCTATTGTGATCTTTAGTTTTTAGTTTTTATTGGAAGAACTGAAAGATTTTTTTTTTTAGTTTGGTAGATTTTAGTTGTAATTCGATACACATTTTGAAGGAATGCAATCGTCATGTATCAAGTGAGTGAATGTCAACTGATTGTTGGTGAATATACTGAAAGCTTGACTTTGGATATTTTTTTCTTTTTTTTTTTATTAACATCCCGGATTGGGACGGGGGGTTGAGGCTACACCCCCGACCTGTGAATATAATGGCCCAGCTAGGGCTAAAAAGTCAATGGTCTACATCCAAGTCGGAAATACATAAAGCAAAGTCAAAATCAGAGAAAAAAAAAATACAAGGATCACAAAAATGACAAAAAAACTAGTCAGGGGCAGGAGGTGGCATTCGATCGAATCTGAAGGATGAGTACTCTAACTGGTCCATCCGAATGAGCGTCCGAAGCCGGAGGGGAATGTCCCTAGGAAGAAGGATGCGTCTCTGGGGTATAGATGCCCCCGTGCTAGCAAGTAAATCGGCAGGCCGGTTCCCCTCCCGGAATATGTGTGAGACCTGGTAATGGATCGAGCGGAGGGTGTCTCTGATACGCATAAGAGGATGCTGGATCTGCCATGAGCCCTGGTGGCCAGATGTCAAAAGTGTGATGACAACCGCAACATCCATCTCAGTCCAGACATGAGAGGAGATCGAGGCAGCAATCTCGAGACCAATCTGGAGCGCCTGAATCTCTGCATCGTAACTCGAGGAGGCCCGGAGTGGCCCATGGAAGGCATAGATGAGAGCCCCACCATGATCCCTAATCAGGCCCCCTCCTCCAGCAGCTCCGATATGTCTGTCGAAAGCGCCATCAGTGTTTAGCTTAACCCAAGGGGCCTTGGGTTTCAGCCAAACAATGATCCTGGGTCGTGGATGCTGGACAGGTAAAGGAGGTGGTGGCCTCAGACGATGGGGCGGAGTACACCCTGTACAGTCTCTCGTCGTGAGTCTGCCCAGGGCGGTGAGGAGAGAGAGGTGTATGTCAACCTGCAAAATAATGTGAACACAAGAAAATATAATATCCCTATGCTTCGCATTATTTACACTATTTTTGTTGAATGAGAATCATGTTTTATTAAATGTGGTCTATGTTTTGTTGTATTTCACTTAGATAAAATGGTTCATCACGGATGGACAAAAGATCATTTTATTAGTTATTTGCGAAATAAAAATGCTTAATTAACAACCTAGATGGAAATCAACAAACCATCAAAACGGTTGTAATATCAATCGTACAGCTGACCATTACTGATTTTTTAGACTAGTACATTTTATGTATTGAACATGATCCTAGAGTGGAGCAGTTAGTATAGGCCTCGGTTAATTACTGCATTCTCTTAACCCGTAAGATATAAACAGACATGATCACGCAGTAGTTATAACTTTGATTCACCAAAAGCGAGATCCATTCTACTGGGCAATAGTCTTCGTGTTTTGAGTAATAGTGTTGCGTGTATGATGTACTGTTAGAATATTTACGGTCACCATGTGCATTAGTTTGATGATGTCCCAGAAGTAAGCTCATGAAGGATTACTAGTGCGATGCCCGGGTTAATTTTATTAAGGTGAGCATTTATATTTATATTTGGATCATTGAAATAACGTAAAAATCATGTATTGGAATAAAACAAAATTTAACTTATATGTCTTTAAACAGAAAACAACGTACATCTATGTAAATCATATCTATGAAAATAAACACTTGAACCTATGTATATTAGGATTCTAAATAGACCTAAATAAATCAACTAAATTATTTTGTAGGATATTTATGATATGATTTATACTCGTTTTATGAAGTTTGCATAGCTAAATGTTTCTTGATAATCTATAGCCTTATTATTTTAAAATTGTAAATTACTTAATTTAAGGAACCAAAAAAATTGTGTACGTGTGTGCAATCAATTTCAAATTTGTATTCTATAGGAGTAAACAAAACCCAAATTTTTAGGATGTTTCAATTCAATTTCATTTTCAATTCCAAATTAATATTATCTAACTCTGTTTTATGTTTAAAAAAATCCGAGCTAAAGAAAGTAGTAGTCAAATGATATGAGATTTTTAATTTTAATTATCAATTTGAAATTGGGCTGATTTCTATGCAATCTGATTTTTATTTTTAAAAGAAAACATGGTATGTTGCAATTAGTTAAAGATACATGTTATAGTATTTACCTAATTCAAAATTCTCGATTTTATGGTAAACAATTTTTTCCTTAAATAAAAAATGAGAGATTTTTTACTTTTACAAATTTTCATGACGAATTTTACCTAAAATAACTATATTTTTATGCAATTTTATTTCTTAATAAACAATTGATTTGTTGCAATTAGGAAAAGATGTATGCTATAGTATTTTGCCTAATTCAAAATTCTCGATTTTATGGTAATCAATTTTTCTTTATTAAAAAATAAGGAAGAATGTTGACTTTTGCAAAATTGTAAGCATCACCTAAATCAAATTCACAAAACCCATAAATTTAGGGTGCATATATAGCTGCTCGATTTTTTGTCTGCTCGATATTTTGGGAATAATTTATAAAGAAAATTAAAAAACTGTCGAAAATAGAATGCAATAGTGCTTGTTGACTTTTCTTGTTACTATTTGTAGTAACTAGGTTCTCTCTTTATATATGTATAAATTATGTTAAACCATGCAGGTGGATTAAGATTTCTACATAATAATAAAGATTTTAGTGGTACTAGCTTCGGTTCAAGATATCAATTAATTATTTATTGTCAGTAATCAAATTAACTAATTGACATTATATCTTAAATATGAGAAGATAATTAGAATAATTATTATGAGAGTCCCGAATATTATTCGGGGATGATAAGGGAGGGCAATAATGTTTTGTTACTGGACCAAAACATTATTTAAGTTATTGAGCGAAGTGGGCTCGGCCAACAGTTACGCCCAATCACTTAATAACCCACATCATCACCTCTTTAGGGTCCCTGCTATAGCCCTATAAATACACCAATAAGATCATGGGATTGGGCACAATAAGCCACACGCCTTACGCATATTCGGTCAACCCTACTATCCCTCGAGTTTTATCTTTGAGTTTCGTTGCTCCACCGATAACCGGAGAGGTGTCAGGTAATATAGCAGAAGTCCTCGAGGTACACGAGACCTCAGAGACAAGCCGCACACGACAAGGTGTCCCCAGAGACCAGCCGTACGTGGCCAGACCACGCGAACGATTAGCGGAGATGCGTCCCCGATGATAACCCGCACGACCCGATCGCAGCAAGTGTCGGTCCCGTTCTCCTGCAACCCGTGAGCTTCTCGTGCATCGCCGACGACTGCAACACATGAGCTGCAGCCCTGCACGACCGCGACCCGTCCTGTAACGCCTCGTGTGTTTATTAATAATTGAGATTATTTATTGGTTTATTATTGCCATTATTATCGCTTATTTATATTATTATTATTATTATTAGTATTATTATTATTATTATTATTATTTATTTGTGATTAAATGTCTAATTGTCTAATTACTTAATTATGTAAATAATATCGTATGTTATATATACAAATATATCGATTTATGTAAATTTATCGACGCATTAAACCGAGTCTCGTATATTATTTAATTATCGAGCCGATAGGAATCACCGGGCCTAATTAGCAATTTAATTTCCAGCCCAAAATGATTTATTTTCCTAGCCAAATTGAGATATAATTGAGCCCATATTAATTGTTCTCGTACAATTT